CACAAGCTAAGAATGCAGTACATACTTTACAAAACTATAAAGTCCATTTATCGTAGACTGAGTGCCAAAGACTATATATTCAAAAAGCAGAGCTGTAACAGACTACTGCTGTGAGTGTATACAGTGCTACATATATACAGTATTTAGAGTGAGCTACCCATATGCATCTCATTTCAAACACATATCCCTGTCTCTAAAATATACATTTCAAGAAATATGTATGCAGATGATTGCACAGCCATTAATCATTATAGTAAACCACAGTGTGGTCTACATTACAGCTCCACACACACGATCCAGCACTAGATGAATCAGTGTGGGTGAGGATGCTTTCTGGGGGGAAGTGGCATCTTGCTTTGTGAGTCTTGGCAGCCCGGTGTAATCAAATGTTCCTGGAAATTACTTCCTGTCCTGTGAGATGGAGCTGGGCTCCATTTGAGATAAAGACTTCTCTGGCTGTTACGGCAAACGCTGTTTTAATAACCCGGCCTGGCTGCGCAGAGCTCGAGCGACTGTCTTTGATAGATGCCATTGCGAGGCCGCTGAGGAACGCCACGTTAAAAACCCTCTTGCTGTCATTAATGGATGAACAGACCTTATGGGGTCCAATTAATTTTTGACACATTGATTCTTAATAAGTCAAATGAAATTTGGGGGAAACATTAGCTGCCAACTTGTCTTTGTAGACTGTACATGGAAAAAGTTTTGTGATTTAGATTATTTGTGATATAACAATTATGCATGTGGAAAATATTAGCACTTTTTCAATGTTAAACTACTTTCATTTATCCCAACTGCAGGCTAAGTAAGCCTTTTATAATTTGATTCCCCAGAAAAGTGTAAACACTGTTGTGTTTCAAAACATTGCACTGTTTACTTGATCATCCTGACCCGGCAACACTGGCTCAACCAATGGTGTGAGTTTGGGGCGTGACTGTCTGTTTGATCAACCAATAGCAGTTGAGGAGTTCTGGAAACTTGCATGGAAACAGTTATTATACAATTTACTGAAACCTCACCTTTAATTTCAAAGGTTCACAGAAGTCAATGAGGATTTGGAATCTAAATGCTAATGTACAGAGCTACATTATCAACAGCTGAGATTTTGCTGTGATCTTACTGTGATCGTGCAATCACTCTGCTCTGATCTGGGATCAACATGGCCCGAGGAAACACAGGGACCGCATTGATATGCAGCAGATGTCGGCTTCTCCATTATATCTGATCACAAAGAGCAATCAGAAGGGAGACTGCGGCTTGATGAGAACTTCTCTGCCAGACTCCCGGCCCAGACTCCAGCCCTCAACGCCATGACATCATTCACCTCTGCTGCCCACTGAGATTGCTTTCAGGTACCGCTATATATAGTCATAGAACAGACCAGGAATACTTTTGAACAGAAAATAATTCTCGGTGTCACCCAGGCCAAAAAATACCACAGAGACCATTGGATATTACAAAATGAGTTGACATGACAGTTGGTATTATTATTTTAAAACTCCAAAGTGTATAACTGTGTGTAATTACACATCAAAATAATTACAGTAATATACTGTAATATACCACAAAATAAATTAACTTCGTCACTGTAATATCTTAAATGACATTGAAATAAAAAGAACAATCCAGCATTAGCATGCTCTCTCAGCATGTTTGAAGCATCATTTTATATAGCCCAGCATGCAGAGGGAGAATATCTTCACCGGTATTTTTGTCTTGTCAAATCTGCGCTTCAAGGAGCTAGTGATAAAGCTATTAGTCACATAAAGACTGTGTAATACCGGGTGCAATAACTGTTTTTAGATGGATCAATAGTCTTATCTGTCTGTCGATGTCTCATACACGGACCCCCCAAAAAAAGCAAGCTGCTTCACAGCAAGCAGCACAATGCTAGACACTAATCAATACACCAGGCGATAACAGAATGCTTCCAAAGCCATTTAGCACAGTCTTATATCTCTGCTGAGCGCTCAACCTGTCAAAATATTTTGTGGTGGGGTGGCACAAGGGAACATTTCATGCTTATCAAGGGGAACAAGCTTCTGCTTTTCAACCCAAAGGATGGCGGTTCTCTTTCAGCACTGCAGAAATGTGAGTGGCAGTCTGAAGATAATACAATTAAGACACTTATAATGACAATTAACGTTGAGACGTTTAATTTATTTTAGTATACTGGCTAATGATTTGTTTCAATTAAATGGATAAACAATCGATATTTCATTATCTTTTTTCTTCAATGCATGGCACTCCAATTGAAAAATGATTGAAACATGTTATTGACAATTAGCATTGAAAAGCCTTATTCAGTTTAGCAAGTTTGGATGGTTTGTTGACTAAGAACTGATAAAAGCAAATGATTAATTGAGTAATTTGGGTCATCACATATTTTGCATATTGTTTTTTTAGAGAAGTAAATATGATGTTGAATGCTGCTATTTGTATGAGTATAGTTTTGAATATGTGATATATTAACTCAAATGTTGCATTATCTTGGTTCCAACATGTCATCCTCTTCACAGTTTTGTTTTGCCTGAATCATCACAAAGAACCATCTTCATATTTGTACGTGAGTCGCACCATTACCACTGACAATATTTCCTGTTTCCAAAAAAAAATAAATAAAAAGATTTAAGCAACCAAAGAGCATTCTGTCAATTTTTGAGCACAATAAAATACCATCCACTCATGTGACAACAAAGAAAACCTATGAGGATATACAATCAGGAAAGGCTTTCACACAGTTCAAAACCTCAGCCACAGCGAACCTGGATAAATAAGCCTGAAGAGCTGCGGAATAATAAGTAGCCAGCACAACAGAGTACAGGTGAATCCCACGAGAGCCGCTTCTACAGAATCCACTCCTTTTAACAAACTAAAGCCACGCAAGGCAGGGTGGAAAAAAAATCTAACCAATGTCCTTGAAGATGTTTTCTTTTCTCCCGAGAGCCATCTTGAAAGAGCGGCTCTGCACGCGCTCTCTTGCATTCTATTTCAATCCTACTAGCCCTGTTTTCATAACTCTCTGCTTTTTCTCCATTTATTTATTTATTTATATATTTTTTCTTTTGCATCTCTCTTTTTTTTACTTTCAGGCAGTGACTCATCTGTCAGAAGGAGGGGTAGGGAAAGACAGCGTAGGCCCAGCTGGGGCCCACCCTACGGGGGGTCATCTCTCTCTTTGCCTGCCCCTCTTTGCAATAACAATATCCATCTCCATTTTCCTGCAAGCTGACCAGTATGAGGGCACTCTCAGAGCAATTAAAATTCCCCAGGTTTCCACTCTTGCCACATGCTTAACTGTACTGCACGGATCCACCATATGCTTCAAGATGGGCGATAGTGCAATTTGCAGCCCGATGGCTGTCGAGATCCTCATAGAACAAAGAGGAAGAACAGCTGGTTGCCTCGCCATGGTTGGATAGCAGCGAGTCAACCTGTTCAATAATATGCCACTCTTGTTCACTGCACCTTATCTTATTTGGTTTGTTTGTTTTATGTGGATTAAGCCCATAAGAGCGATGGAAATTTCAACCTACTGCTCAAACAAGCTCAAGGCATCGATACGAGGCTATTTTTCAAACCCTGCCGCTGGAAATACAGGAAAATTACCTCTCACAAGATACCACCTCAAAGTGAAGGAATTCATTAGTTGCTGCTGGGTTTTTATAGAGCCGAACATGAGCCTGAAGCATAATAACAGAACTATTAGCCCGCCACAATCTATTATATTTAATCTAAGACCACCTATTGGCTAAATCCTAAATGATGGTATTCCCTGTCCTAAAGGGCCATGCTGAGCTTTCAACTGCAGCCATTTCTCTCTACGGAATGCCATGGGATTAAATCCTCCCGCTGGCAGCCATTCAGAGGAAGTGACAGCACTGGATAGCCTGTAAATGGCTTCAACGTGGCTCATGTACCACGACCTGAGAGAGGTCAACAGAACTCTATACTCTAAGTGTCAGCCTCACAGAAGGGATGAAATTAACATTGCCGGTGATAAAGCTCCCATGTCTTAACCTCCGGAGGGTTAATTCAGAACGTAGGGGGCCCCTCCATTCTGAAGAAATGTGTATGTGTCTGCATGTTCAAGACATGGAGGGTCTTCCAAGGTGTTTTAGGAACATGACTCTTGAGATGCTACCCAGGGTAAAGGTGAACAAGTCATCTAATTGAAACCAGATCGTATCTAGTAGGCAACCTTTTACACGGACTAGGCACTGAGAAAATAATTATTTGACATAAAAATAAAAGCCATAAAAAGTAAAAAACACATTCACACCTCCTTTCTCTGTGAAACATATTACAGAAGACCACTCAACATCTCTAGAAACAGTATTTACTGAACAAAAAAAAGTCTTACAAAAGCTACAAAAAAGATTTCTTTGGACATTCTCAATTATATTATTAATCAAGTTTGTCAATGACTTGTTTTCAGGGTAAGGCACTGTAGAATCTGTAGCATCATACGCCTCAATCTACAGCAACATTTAGTAACTTTTATTTAATGGTAAATCCATTTGGTTCATTGTAATTATGCATCTATGCACAGATATTATAGCCCAAAATAAACAACAACAAAAAGGAATTAGGTTATAGACTTCAATTGTAGGCACAGACAGTGATGACAAATTCAATCATTCTTCAGCAACCTGAACACGGCAAATTGCTGAGGTCAGAATTTCCCTCCAATCAAAACAGTAAAGCTTCAAAGAGTGATCTTTAAACATGCCAACAAGAAGACTTCCTTGTAGAGTAGGTAGGTTCACAGGAAAGCCTGAGGTTCATTAATTGATTAATAATGAAGAACTCCATTATGTCAACCCCTCGTTTTGCCAGGTCTCAATGCAAAACAGACCTAGCCAGGGGAAAGTCAACAGAGCCAAGCCTATCTGCCAACTGTTCCTGTCCAACTATCGCTGCATCCAAATGAAAGCAAATGATTACAACATCTGTAGGAAGCCTGCCCTTTGACTAAGACGATAAACGGTCACACTCACCTCTCCGGATTGTGGCAGTGTCAGCTTAGGAATTTTCCCCTTGGTCCCAGCTGTGCTGCTTTTGGTATCCAGCAGACCTCCAAATGGCACACTGTTGTACCCTTCCACCAGCTCCACAGGGGGTTTGAGCTCTGGGGAATCATTGGGGACCTGGTCTTGGCCGTCCATTGGCCTGACGTAGGCAGTGGGTTTCTGCTGCACAGCACTGCTGGGCTTGCAGTGGAGGCCTTGGGGGAATGTCGGCGTCAAGAGGCCGCTAGGAATCAGGGATGTAGAGGCCATTGGCGAGTTCGAGCCATGGGAGCATAAGTCCTGCTCAGCGGGAGACTTTCCAAGGCCAAGTTCTGCTGTGGCTGGTCCTTTGCCAGACTGTGCCTGCTTCCTGTTGGAGTGTGACGAAGTTGTAGGTCCATCAGGATTGGGAATCGAGTCCTCTTGGTCCTGATCATGTCTACTAGAGGTCTGCTCATGACTGGAGTGCTTCCCCCGGCTGACCGGTTGAGCGGTCTGGGCACCACTTGAACAGTGACCTCCTCGGGACCAGTCTGAAGAGCGTGACTTTTTGCCTTGATGTCCATGTACAACGCTAGAGCCCGGCATGGTGTTGGCAGGGGGTGGGGGCATGGAGGTGCTGTGACTTCCAGGTTGGGAGGGAGCAGCTCGGCTCCGCTGAGCCTCAGGGAAAAAGCCTGGCTGGTCGGGTTTCTCCACTGGAGTCTGGGGAACAGAGTTCTTAGGAATGCCGACAAGGTGACTCTGGTTGGAATGGCTAGTCAGGAGTTCCTTCATTTCATCGTAATTTCCAAGTGTGTTTTGGACCCGGTTAGCCAGGGCATCTCCTTTGTTAGTCTGAAAGAAAACAAAATATATATATGAAACCTCTGTATAATTAAATGCAGTAATTTTCCTTACAAAGGTCTTTTAAATGAACAGTTCACCCTAAAATTACCATACAAAATCTGGTTTATATGACTTGTGCACTACATTTATAGTCTCCTCAAGTCAATGCAATAGCTTTGTGTGAAGAACAGATCAAAATTTTAGATATTTACTAATAATATTCACCTCCAACACAACCCTAAATCGAATATGGTACATATGGAGCAGGTAGGACTAAAAAAAATATATATATGAAACCTCTGTATAATTAAATGCAGTAATTTTCCTAACAAAGGTCTTTTAAATGAACAGTTCACCCTAAAATTACCATACAAAATCTGGTTTATATGACTTGTGCACTACATTTATAGTCTCCTCAAGTCAATGCAATAGCTTTGTGTGAAGAACAGATCAAAATTTTAGATATTTACTAATAATATTCACCTCCAACACAACCCTAAATCGAATATGGTACATATGGAGCAGGTAGGACTGAAACAACCTCAAACATCAGTGGTTCTCGAGTACCTTACAAACAGATGTCAATTATTTGATTTAAGATTATCAATGAATAATTACAATGATTTCAGACGGTTACTCAAATAAAGGTATTGGAAGTCATTTTAACCACTTTAATGGTGCTTATTTAGTCCTTTTTGAAGCTTAACCATGCAGTCAATATGAGCTGTTGAATAGAAAAGACATGGAGGTTTTTTACTTTTTATTTTATTTTATTTTTTAATTTCATACAAAAAATAACAGCATACAGGTTCGGAATGACATCAAGACGCGTAAATAATTATAGAAGATGCATTTTTTTAGGTCAACTATCAATTTAATTTGAAGAATATTCAACTGTTTTGCAAATGTCAGTGGACTTTAATTTTCAGATAAAATATAAAAACAAAAAAGACAAAACATTCCACAACACAACAAAAACTCCATAATACCCAAAAGTAACACCCTAAGTCTGTGAGTGTGAATGCCAAGTCAAGGAGTAATTTAGTGTGTTCACAGAACCCTTCTCAGTATGGACAGATCTAAAGAGTGCGTTTGTCAGTATAAAGAAACTGAGGATTTATCATGAGTTTTAGCTGACTAGACCATCAACATAGTTTTGAGATGCACGCCAACTCTCCATTTGATGTTAGTCAATATTTATGAAACCCAGCAACGTGTGATCACAAAAATGGCGAGACGCTGTATTTAGAATCTATTCAGAATTTTCTGTTTGTGTGCCATTCCTATCTGTGCCTGTGTGCTGATCTACATAAAATAATGTTTGCAAGCATCTCCTGAATTTAGGGTGGGCAGAAAGATACAGTAATCTCCTCTCCAGAAATGTCTGTCCAAATCTAGTCTTCTTTTGCTGACAACAAGAGTCAATTTTATAATAATCGTTATCTTTTAGGTTGTGCAGCACATCATTAGTTGCACAGCGTTCTACAGAAGAGAAACATGCTATCCCCCCACCCCACTGATTATTTGCATAATAAGCAACATTCTTCTTAACACTCAGGCCTTTACTCTTGAATTCATCACTATATTTACATTTTCCTTTATTCAAAGGCTCCTACTAGCACCCTAATTCTAAAGAGTCTGAATCTTGAGGTACTCAATAAATAACTAAATGCATGTGTGTGCTTCTCTTGTACACTGATACAACTGAAGGCTACGTTAATCCCAGGAAGCAAGAGTAGAGGGATAAATCTATTAGCATTCTCCATTAATTTCACATGTAATTGCTACATTAATAACAGCACAGCTCTTTTAAAATGCAAATGCATCTGTTATGGCTTTCAGCAACATAAACAGTCAATAAACAAATAATGTTAAATGATCCACAACCAGCATAGCGCATGAAAAGCTATTAAAGCAGTGATGGAATTATGCACTGGACGGTTAACATGCAACCTTACACACAACAGAGGATCTGATTCTAAATCTTCTCAGTCTGACATCAAGACTGACCTCTGACCTGCTAAAGCCTTAGCACTAATGTCAGCAATTAAACCTTATTGACTATGTGGTTGTTATTCAGAGATTTATTATAATGACATTTTTGAATTATTTCTGGATTATGAATAAATATAAAAATTGACAAAAATAGCATGATATGATATTTCTTGCAAGCACAGGTTTTTTTTTCTCTTCCAAAACTATCTATCTATCTATCTATCTATCTATCTATCCATCCACATACATAGGGAAAAACTGCTAAACACAAATTATAAAATGTAATTAAATACAATGTTGTATAGTTGTATAGAAATTAAATTGTCCAATTGTGTCTTAGAAAAAAAAACAAAAAAAAACATATATATATATTTTTTTTTTCACTTTATTTCTCTTTTTTAGTAATATTACTACATTTTCAACTATTAATCCTTATCATTTTATGGATACTTTTTAATTTTTCATACAATAAGCATACAATAATTTCTTTGGAACACTTTACTTAAAGCATTTATGTATAATTCATTATAAAATACTTTTATAATGCATGATATAAATGCTTTAGATAAAGTGTTAACACAATTTCATACAATAATTTGAATCTGGGTCCACTGTCATTTCTCCGTGGCCTCACCGTACAGATGACGTGAGTGCTGTTCTTGGGAAGCACTTGGATGGGAATGTGGACCGGTGGCTCTGCTCTAGTGTTTTTGGAGTGAAAGATCTGAAAGGGACACTCTTGAGTGAGAGGAGTGCGTGAACCTCCCAGACGAGTTGGTTCGGTCAATGTGAGGGAAAATCCATCTGGGGCTCACACAAAGAGCTGTTGTGTGAGCTCGACTGCTTGACTGAAGCATGAGAATGCTGGACCGCAGCCAGACACGCATTCTACATGGCAGTTCCAGCTCGGGGAAAGGCGAGAAAGAGAGAAATGCTCTCATTTAAAGTGTTAATTGCTGGCATTTTACATTCAAAATTTCTTAAAATTATGAATAAGCCATTTATGAATGATTAATCGCGTACTTATGTTGGCGGTTACAGTTTTTACTAGCTCATTAATGTGTTCATTGGAATATATAAACACTTTAAAATGTCTAGTAGTTTCAGGAGAGGTTTTAGGATTTACTACATAAAAATAAATAAAGTTAAATAAACATAGAAAACATATTTTAGAAAACATTTTACTGCCTTGTTTTCTGCATAGGTGCATCATTATCTGTTCTCTGTAAAATACATTTAAATGAATGAATGGAATGAATGAATGAATGAATATCCTCCAGATCAACTTGTAAGAAGGAAAAAAAAAGATCTTTAGAATATAGTTCCTCTTACTTTAATTTATTGTAATATTAGGAAATTAACACAAAAACATACGTTCATATATCTCCTTTTGAATTTCAATACAGACCTCTAGAATTTTTCTCTGAGCTATACTATTCCTACATACTAATCAAAGGCAGAGATCTGAATATCAACTCCAACCCAGCTAACAAAAAATATGTTCTAAGAACATTCTGCTAGCGTTCCAATTAAGCTATAAAAAGAAGTCTAAATTAGGGCTGAACGATTAACTGCATTTGCGATAATGTCGCGATATGAAAAAATTTGATTTTTCAATCGCAGAGGCTGCGATTACACTCGGTCACGTGACACGCGAGAGTAAAGAGGTGTGTTCGACTTGAAGATCGATCGGTGTATGACATCAAAGTACGGCGAGAGAAAGCATAAGGAGACGTCCGTGCTCTCTTATAGCTCTCGCAGTACTTTGATGACACACACCGATCGGTCTAAGCAGCGCTGCTTCAAGTCGAGCGCGGGCCATCTGGCAGATTTTTTTTTTTATAGGTTTAAAGGGGGCGTGACCAAAAAAGTTTGAGAACCACTGGTCTAAAGTTAACAGACAGTGTTTAGTGCAGTCCACATGTTTACATATGTTTATTACAGTGACTTTGAATTACCTAAAGTAGTGTGGTAAAGCAACAGATTTGTTTTTATATTTCTGCAATCTACTTTAGTTTGTGTGATTTGTTACGGACTTTCATATTAATGTTTACACCAGGCTTATTTGTCAGTGCTTTATGTTGTCATAATTATTACATGCTTACAAGGTTGGAAGTTCAACAAATTAGTCAATATACTCTGATTGTAGGTGTTAAATAAAAATGTAATTCATATCAATTCATGCATCACCTAATTTCATCGTAACATATAGGCCTTGCCTACAGAAAAGAACATTTATGTTTAATCTATCTAATAGTGTGTTGGTCATACTATACAATGATTTATAGCTTGTCCTTGTTGAATAATACAGAACAGAAAGGTCTTTAAAAAAATAATTGCATATTAAATCGCAATCGCAATTAGATTATTTTCCAAAATCGTTCAGCCCTAGTTTCTAAGGTTTCTGGGTGGTAACTAAGGCATTGCTAAGTGTATACTTGGGCTGTTTACTTGGGTATTTTGGGTTGCTTACTGAGCCAAGTGGAAAAAGCTGATACTTTCTGGACTCTAGGTATGGCTCTGGTCCATCCTTCAAGTGTTTGGGAATTTTTTTCCAACTTTTATCACCCACCAAGAAAAATTTGGGTGTCTGATTGCTTCAGAAAGTAATAGCACACCTCTCCTCAACAAGCCACACTAGTCTAAGTGCTGTGTTATTCTGACCTTTTGAAAACATTATTAAAGACCAGATAACTTTGAATGAACATTCCATTGACGTTACTGGAAGAATGTTCGTAACTTTGAGAGAAACTTGCCAAAGTTCTGAGAATGTTCCTGGTTAGCTGGGACCATTTCTCATCCAATTCAACCAAGACCAAAATGATCTGAGCTGCTTCGACACATTCACGTTATATCTCTATATTCGTCCGTTATATCGACAATTGCCTCATCTGTGACTATTTAATTTCTCTTAAACTATTTTAAGCTGAGACAAAGTTGATACACAATAGAGCAACAGCCAACATACTCAAAAAAACACTGCTGACTTTGATGTAAACTCCCAAAGTTTCAAA